GTACCCTAACCCTAACCTTAACCTTATTATAATGGGTTTATATAGGGGTACCATAACACTAACTTTGACCTTATTATAATGGGTTTATATAGGGTAACCCTAACCTTAACCTTATTATAATGGGCTTAAATATAAGGACGTTCTGCCACTTTTAAAATCTTTTTACGACAGGACACATCCAGGAGATCAAATCCAAATCATTCTTTTGAAAAGGGACATATAGAAGTCTGTTCTGTCCATCTAAAGACTCTGAAACTGTACAGACAAATTCCAGCGATTGTAAACCGAACCAGGTAGCCCTGGTCTGTGTCCATCAAGAAAAGGAAACAGATTCAATCCGCTTTTCTGACTCTAAGTACGAGTAAAGCTCAATGCTGATTTCTATCCATCAGGAAGATGGGAAGATGATCACTCTGCCGCTAAAAGTTAGAGGAAACGCGCCAGAAACGCTCCAGAACGGCCGATAATCCCCCTGAGAGAGCTGTGCAGAAACCTCAATGAGCTTAACAACCGTGGAGAGAAGGGGGACAGAATTCATCCAGACCACGAGAGAGAGCATGGCTTCCTACCAGCTTTGAGCTTTGAGTGTTGGCTCACCTTCTTTTTTCTCTACAAAGTGGAACAAACATCTAGTCTTATCTTTCTGAGATGGTCTGATCCATCCTTCCCTTCAGACTGACTTCAATAGATAAATAAACCGAAGTCCAACCACAACACGTCACGACGGTGGATTTTAGGGCGGAGATTGGTGAAAACAGGGTTTATTGTAACAAAAAACGCACTCAAAAGAGTCGGATGCAGACAAAGTTCAAAACAAGGCTGTGACAAAAACTATGAACAAAGTATCAAAGCAATAAAGTCAACAAGACTGTGGCATGGCTGTGGCAAAAATAAGAGTATGGCAAAGTGCAAATAAAGATTAACAAAACTGTGGCAAGGCTGTGACAAAAATCAAACCTGACGTGGCGAGGGGTGATGAAAACACACTGGCCCAGGACATGGGAAACAGGACTATAAACACATGAGGGAGGGGAACCCCAGGGTACACAATAGGTAATCAAGACATGACAACACACCAGAAACTCCCCCAGACGGGACAACACAAACCGCCTTCCAGTACCTCCAACAGTCCAAAGTCAAGACAATGACAACCAAAAAAGAGGTGGAGCACCTGCTGGGTCTAACCCTAACCCTAACCCGTAATAGTCATGTAGTTCTTTGGAACAGGGACAACAAAGGCCCCTTCCCCTTTGCTCAAACACATCCCAGGGTTAGTTATGGGTCAGCTCTGGTCCCTGGCCTTGGTGGCCTACACACAGCTCCCATGGAGCTCCCATAAGGCTTAGCGGCAGTGGAGAGTCCTGGTGGATATCTACAGTGGGGGAAATAAGTATTTGAGCCCTTGCTGATTTTGCAGGTTTGCTCACTTACAAAGAATGCTTATTTTTCCTCATCAGATGGTTATCAATTTTTATAAATTCATATGATGTGATTTTCTGGAATTTTCTTTGGGATTCTGTCTTTCACTGTTAGAATGTACATATGATTAAAGTTATAGATCGTTGCATTCTTTGTAAGTGGGCAAACCTGCTAAATCAGCAAGGGCTCAAATACTTACTTCCCCCACTGTACCAATGGTAGAGTGGAAGCCACAGATGGAGTCCACACCACCACCATCAGGACGCTGTTCTTTTCCTATTCAGCTCTGCCCTCAATGCCGGATTGTCAGATTATCCCCTTTTTCCTGTGCTTATTAATCTACTACGTACTAAAGGGGCTTGACCTAAATTTAGCCGGGAGCTGTCAAGAGATCTCATCCGGTCACACACAGGGATGTGCTCTCCACCAACCACCCGGTCCCTGAAGACTAACCCTAGCACACTCACTCCAGATCACAAGGGCTCACTTAAATAGGAGAGCGTGGGGGGGGCGGTGGATTGAAAGAACCTCACTTTTATCTTGCACAGCAGCCAGAGCTCTCAGCAACATGACAGATGGCGGTTTGGACAAAGCAATTTGTCAGGTGAATCTACAGTTCTACAGCTTTTTTTCAATTCTGTTTGGGTTTTTGGCGGAAACCCGAACCCTTTCTGTCCATCTAAAGACCAGGAAACTGTACGGTCCGACCCAGGTTCTTTGGCTTCTGGTTCTACTGAGAAGAACATTTGATTATATCTGAATCTGTTTGGGTTTTTGGCGGTACCCCGAACCCTCTCTGTCCATCTAAAGACCTGGAAACTGTACGGTCTGACCCAGGTTCTTTGGCTTCTGGTGCTACTGAGAAGAACATTTGATTATATCTGAACCTGTTTGGGTTTTTGGCGGTAACCCGAACCCTTTCTGTCCATCTAAAGACCAGGAAACTGTACGGTCTGATCCAGGTACTTAGGATTCTGGTGCTACTGAGAAGAACATTAGATTATATCTGAATCTATTTGGGTTTTTGGCGGTACCCCGAACCCTTTCTGTCCATCTAAAGACCTGGAAACTGTAAAGGGCTTTTATTTGTTTTATTGGTACCCAGAAGGAGAATTGTATAATTTCAGAATGACTGAGCTCATAAAAAGCCAGTGGAACAGAACTGAACTGAAACCAACTAACTGTAGAAACATAACTGACCTACCAAAGACAAACAGAAGTATATATATATATATATATATATATATATGTATGATACACGCACTTACTACAAGACAACATCACAGTACAGTTATGTTTGCTACTAAATACCACGAAGCGACCCAAAAACACCAAATTTCAAATCCCCCTCCCCCTCTTTGGCTTTAGGAGGTGTATTCTCTCTTGTATTTAAATGCTTAGAGGCCTGGCTGAAACTCTCCAAGATTATGGAACGTAGGAAACTGGTACAAGAACATTTAGTAAACATCCAAAAATCACAAGTGAGAAACGAGCTGATGAAGGTACTGTGAAATAGCTTCTGAAGGGAATCAGGATTGGACAACTCTAATTCCCTATTACCGTCATTTCCAGACTACCTGTTTATATCTCTAAAAAAACAAAGAAAATTGTACATTTATTGGTTGCGCTTGCTGGTAGCCCTTAAAAATCCATAGACTGGCTTCATCGTTTAAGATACAGTCTTAAAAGTGTCTGAAAAAAAGATGAGGCTCTTGTAGTCCAGAGATTACGGTATTGTTCTGATCAGACAACTCCATCGTATCTTAAAGAGGAGACACTTTACTCGTGTTACAGCCCACAAACAGGAAGTGTGGACCACCCCGCCGTTAATCTGGATATCACTCTCCCACTTGTGTTAATTCCCGTCCACGGGATTAGCTCGCAAAATGTGAATTAGGGCCGTGAAAAAGGGCCGTTTAGTTTAATCCTGTAGCTCTCGCATATATCCGTGACTAAAAACTGGAAGCACAAAGCTGGTAAATGGACGTTTGTAGGCCTAACCGGCGCTGTTCTCTGTAGACCACATGCTAGCTGTGCTATCGCTGTGTACATCAGTCCATATCTGTTCAGTTTGGATGTATCCCCCTCCTTATTGCTGTTCCCCCTCTAACCGGGCCTAATCTGCATATTCACACATTGATCCTTTTGTACTGTCCGTGATTAATAGAGGCCCGTCTTATCTTCTAATTAACTGTGGCTTCCTGACATGAGTTGTATTGGAAAACAGCCTTCCTGCCTGTCTATCTCCCGCTGTTTTTCCACGATCTGGATATTCGGAGCCATTATGTGCCTTCCACTGTTTTGAACACTCAATGGGAAATTGATCAAAATCCATTTGGGGAGGTTTAAAAGCAGAGTATAGATTCAGCCCTTAATACCTTCATCTCTACACCACTAAAACTAAACTTAGCACAGACCTTACAGGCGTTTTGCCAGACTGCCTTTCATTAAAGAAGAGAACCTAGCCCGGTTATACTCAAGTATCACGTCAAATACTGTCGACAAACCTTTTCCACCTACGGGAGACCAGCACTTACAGCTTTAGGTTCACTTCACCTTTAGCAAATTGCTCCTTTCTCATGCCATAACACTTACGGTTTGCCACCAAAGAGGGAAAGAAAGCACAAAAACCGACAGGAGTTCAGCTCCCTGTGGACCTTTTAGGGATGGGAGGGTTTATAAACCCGCCTGAACCGTTGGGTTGTGTCTGGGTTGGGTTGGCGTGTGTTGGTTGGGTTCCTGCTGCTCCTTTTTCTCAGAGGGAAGCGTTTACACTCCAGAGCAGAAGGGGGCGCTACTGCGCCCAAAGCCAACCACCAGTAGGAAACAAGAAGAAGAAGAAGCAGCGTAGGCCATAAAAACCAGACCAGCAGCAGTTTCTAGGTCTGCTGTATGGACCAGTTTGCATTTAGAGGGAAGCACATGTTGGAATTAGCACTGTTTCCTCTCTGCCAGAATCTCACCTACTTTAACCTCAGACTGTCACAGTAATGGATCACATGTCACACTGCTTTTTTCTTTCAGTTTTAACCTGACTATACAAGACATAAGAGATTTTACTAACAATCAACATATACCGAACCGAACCCAAAACCGTGACCACAAAACCGTGAATCGAACCGAACCGTGGATTTTGTGAACCATCCCACCCCTAGGACCTTTGGATCGGGAGCACCTACCGTCCTCTGTGGGGACGTAGATGTTCAGGTACAGGCAGTCCTCGCTCTGCTCCTGCACGTAGGTCACCACCGTATCCAGGTTGGCGGTGAACCACACGGGGAGCATGTCGTTGAGCAAAAAGCGGTCCTCCAGGAACTGGGGACACACCGGGGCAAAGTGGGTAGCGTTCCTTATCCCCGGCCAGGACATGGGCGGCTCGGGGGGCTGGAACCTGCGCTCCCCCGTGGGGGCCAGCGCGTACGGGATTCCCAGATACTGCTCCACCGGTCCTAGGATCTCATTCGGTAAGGTTACTTTGACGCCCCTCAGCTTGCCGTAGTTGGTGGTGACCACGGGATGCTGCTGGGCTCCGATAGCTCCCACGCAGAGGCACGCTAGCCCCATCCCGAGCAAAAAGCCGGGCGGGACACGCATCCATCGAGGACCTAGGGAGGCCGACATCCTCCGACTGGTGCGCGCGGTAGTCCTTAGGATGCTAGCGGAGCGGGGGAAGCAGCTTTCTCGCAGATCCCCATCCCGAGAGCGTCCAACTCGATGGGAAACCCTGGGAGAACAGCAAAGGAAACCCCAGTTAGTCGTCTTGGCACAGTATCTGAATTCATATACAGTAGGGGGAAATAAGTATTTGACCCCTCGCTGATTTTGCAGGTTTGCCCACTTGCAAAGAATGCTTATTTTTCCTCATCAGATGGTTATCAATTTTTATAACTTCATATGATGTGATTTTCTGGAATTTTCTTTGGGATTCTGTCTCTCACTGTTAGAATGTACATATGATTCAAGTTATAGATCGTTGCATTCTTTGTAAGTGGGCAAACCTGCAAAATCAGCAAGGGGTCAAATACTTATTTCCCCCACTGTATGCTAAGACCGTGCTAATGCTCCTTCTCACACCATTAGCCTGCTACCAAAGCTTTGCTCCAACTGATCGTGATATCGCGCAATCCTGGATTATCTCGTGCCAATGAGGGATCATTTCCTCGAACGATGACGTTTTATTGTTGCGATATGTCTGATGTGTCTTTAAAAGTCCCTAGCCAGATCTTGGATGATCATTTGATCGTCCAGCTCATGTTTACAGTCAATGATGACACATAGCCTTGCCAGAAAAGGTCTCCATGGAAGAGTGGTCCCATTTGAATTTAGCTAATCCCAACATCTCCAATACCCCCCCTCCTACAGACATTGGAAATGTAGCACATCCCTTTAGCTCCCAGTGATAGTTTTTCAATACCTTCGCATTCCCATGCTGTTAATTCCAATTATCTCTTCAACGTTTTGCAGGCAATCAGCATTATGATTAACGTCTGAGCCCTGGTAAATATTCCCTGCCAATCATACGGACACTGGTCCATGCAGAAACCAGCTAAATGAGCAGATAGCGCCTCGTGCCCAGTCTCCCCGGGGAGCCATTTTTGACAAAAGGAGCTGGCATGCTGCTTCCTCATTCCATTTCCTGTTGTGGCTTTCAATCTCAGCCCATTGCTTGAGGCACTGAGATGTTCTAAGAGCGTATTTAGCATATTTTAAGTGGTCTGGGTGATGGAAATCACATGCCTGGCTGCCCCAATCCAGAACTGTTGATTAGTAACTATGTCTCCGCGGCAACAGCGTGTGCCAGGGAAAGTCAGGCCAAATCAATTATTAAATCTGAGCCTGACCAGCGCCGACTCCCGTCTGGCATCAAATATGAATGAAAAGAGAGGTGGTGCTTTGCTAACAGGGCTAACAGCGTTACGACATGAGTCTGTCATGTTGCTGCTTTTCCCAGACCACGGGCGCTATGGTAACTGGCTCAGACTGGATGCTTCTGTCTGTCATTAAAACATTAGAGAGCACAGATATTTGAGGACTCTATTAGACAACTGACGTATGAGTAGTAACCATTCTTAAAAATGAAGAACACGAAAGTCTATCTAACTTCCTGTTCTCTACTTTTTTAAATCATCTGCCACCAATGAGAGTTGTTAGTTTGGGTCATCAATTAAAGTCCTCCAGTAAAACTTTAAGTTTTACATCCAGAGACACAAAGACCAGCTAAAGCTAACTGATGTTTATGCTAACTGATGCTAACCTCCGTTAAGTTTTGGAGGGAAACTGCAGGAATTTTAATCGGTTAATGGTAGAAACAAAAGCAAAAAACTAAAGACTGAATATTTAAAAAATGTATTTAAATCCTTTTCTGGAGGAAATGTTTTTTTGCTAGTTAGCTCGATTAGCAGTGAGTCATTTTGGATGTTTTGAATAACATGTTACTTAGAGTTGATTATATTTTCAAAGTGTTTTAAAAAAGGCTTCCTTCCCTCCAGAATAAGCTCTGGATGTCAGTAAATGAGCTCTAGTACAGCAGATATTAGAGAAATCAGTGGAAAACACTTGTTAAAAGGAGAAAATCAAACATCTGGGGATCATTTCAGACCTCCAGGTCAAACTGACACGGAGGACCAAAGGTGTGGTTTGTCTATTTAGGAAAGATTTAATCTACTCACAAATTTTGCTTTAACTGGAGTAATATTGTTCTAAAGTTGCAACTCTAGATCCTAGAACTTAGATCTTTCACCATCTGAAGGTGCTTATGGACCCACAAGGAATCAGAGGTACTTTGTTCGATTTTCCTACTGGATTTGAATTGATTGGCTCTTAAACATGTCCTTTCAACTTTGATGGTGGTTCGAAATCAAGACAGTGCCTTAAAGAACCGGAACCAGCACATAAGAGGAGAAGCTCACTTCAAACATCTGGACAGGGACGTCTGAATCTGTTTTACTTTGTTTTTATAGGGACAAAGTCCGTTTTTTTTCTTAGACTTAGACTTAGACTTCCTTTATTGTCATTGTACAAAAAACACAACGAAATGTTGATTACTTGGCTACCAGTGTGACAGAGCTAAGACCTTATTCCTACTTAATAAATATGTTTTCTATAACTAGAGCTATATATATACACAGGGTAAGAGCATATAAATACATATTATTGCAAGGAGTTATTACAAAAGAAACATCAATGAATATTGCACTGAGTTGATAGCAAAAAGAAACAATTGAGTTGTACGATTTCTAATTTCAGACACGCGAGTTCCAGTTTTAGCTCTTGTTTAATCTGTAGTTCTTTATTTATTTTGGATTATTTCCCGCGGATTGCTTCTACTATCAGGTTTTTATTTCTGTGTTCTGTTTCCTTCTTTCCAGTTTCTATCGCTCTCTCTCAGACCCTCATCACTTCTTCCATCCAAAATACAAATTTCGTTTTTTCATTCGCTCTACTTCAGATCTTGGCTTTTCCCTGCTGTTTGGTTTAGTTCTACATTTCCCTCTCTGATATAAGCCGTGAGCTCGGGAGCTTTATTAAATGAAAACCTTGTCCCCCATCTTTATTGTGCTCCCATCACAATAAACCCACCCCCACTATGATTAAAACACACACAGCTCTTTGGCTACACGGCTAACAAACACGACCCTCAAGCTCTACAGAGGTTTTGATCCAGCTACATATCAGTTTCCCTCAGAAATATCTGAAGTGGACCTCCTTATTGTCAGGTCTGGGGGAGTTTCTGGTGTGTTGTCATGTGTTGATTACCTATTGTGTTCACCTGGGGTTCCCCTCCCTCATGTGTTAAAATAGTCCTCGTTTCACATGTCCTGGGCCAGTGTGTTTTCGTCTTTCTGTTTTCTAGTCACCCCTCGCCACGTCAGGTTTTGATTTTTGTCACAGCCATGCCATAGCCTTATTTACTTTGTTCCATAGCCATGTTTTTGTCACAGCCATGCCATAGTCTTATTTACTTT